CAGGGCAGGGACCAGAGGACACAAGGCTGGACACAGAGTCCTCGAAAGGGAGTGGGGACGGGGAGGTGTGGGAAAGCAGGAATGAAGTCCCTAACTCTCAGAGGCAACTACATATTTACCACTATTGGCAACTTGGGAGACATCCTTAAAACAAGAAAAGGGGGGAGGGAGACAAAGTCAAGCTCTATTTCAGTGGCTCTCAGACCTGGCTGGGTATCAGCAGCACTGGGGGGGCAGGGGTTGAAAGCCCATCAGCCTTAGGTCTCCAGCCCGGGTCTCCTGCACCAGAATCTCTGGGGTGGCCCCTGATAGTGGTATTTTTTCAAATGCCCCACGTGCTGCTCATGTGCAGCCACAGATAAGACCCACTCATCTATTTGGTACATGATAGTACAGACAGAAAAAGATAAAATTTACATGTATATTGATTTAAAGACAATTGTATGTGTACATTAATTGCTCAAAATCTGGGAGAGACTTACCACCACCTAAACATTTCTGTGCCTCCCACCAAGGAGCCACAGGCCTGCAAAGGCCAGGCCCCGCCACCCGCACGAGAAAGCCTGGGACGGGAATCCCGGAAATTTCCCGGAAATCCGCAACGAGAAAGCCTGGGATGGGAATCCCGGAATTTCCCGGAAATCCGCAAAGGTGAGGACGCCAGGGAAGAAGCTCACCTAAACTGTATTCTATCTCTCCAACGACCAGGAGAAAAGCATTCTTAATCTTTCTTTACAAGAAAAATGTATCATGTGCTTATGACAGGCTTGGTGCTGGCGGGATAGAAGTTTGTTGTTTTTTTTTTAAGTTCATAGAAAGTGAGGTGACTGTCCTGGCTCTACTCAAGGTTCTGCCAGTGCAGGGATGCTCTGAAGACGCCATGAAGCTGGAGAGGGAGAGCAACTCTTGGACTCTATTGATGGAGGTTGTTGCCTTGTTACAAGGACATGCTTCACCTACAAGGTGCTAAGCATCCAAGACACAGTCGAAGCAGGCTGAGTAGAGAGTTCCATGCTGAGCACATAGTAATATAATATGCTGAGTGATAACCCCATGGAGTAAAAAAAAAACAACAAAAAACTCAGCCATACCTTGCAGAAATCAGGTCAAGCCTAATAAGAATCAGCTGGTAGGTTTTCCCTAGTTCCCCTATCCTATTTTCTGTTTGTTTGTTTTTCTTGGACACCTGTAATCATAGTGCATTTTCATCAAAAAGATGAATCAAGAGCCCTGGCTGGGTAGTTCAGTGGGTTAGAGCATCAGCCCGAGGTACCAAGGTTGTGGGTTCGATCCCCAGTCAGGGCACATATAAGAAGCAACCAATGAATGCATAAATAAGCAGAACAACAAATCAATATCTCTCTCTCAAATCAATAAAGAATAAAAAAATTAAAGGATGAATAAAGAATAGGAAATAAAAAGAGGGGCACACACATAATGCATTTCCTCTTCTGTATTCTCTAAGGTCAACCCATTATAATACAGATTTAGAAAGAAAAATCAATAAGAAGGTTTTTCTCTATATAATCCATCTGAATCATAGCTGGCCTCTGCTTTGAAACAGAAATTGTTATTCCCAGTAGCATCTCTAATAAAACACACTTCATCCTCTCCAGGGGAGGGAAAGGCTTCAAAAGGGGGCGGGGCCCTCCGCTGACCCTTCAGGGTGGGGCTGGCTGCAGACTTGCTCCTCCATCCCCTCTCCTCACAACTCCTTGTTTTCCTTCCTTCTTGCCTTTCTTGTAACTGTCCTGGGCTGGGAATGCCCAGTGACGTCTGCCCTATTTCTGGGGAGATGAAAGATACAGCTGCGTGATTTTTCTCTAACATTCCAAATGTTTCAGGTTAGAATGTGCACCTTGAAAGAAAAGGAAATCTTTGACAACGGCTCCAATCACTTTCCATGTGTACAAACAGATGCCCAGTTACCAGAATCAAATACTTGTTCCCTTTTAAACAACTACGGGTCATTCATTCATGGATTTGGTCCACAGACATTCGCTGGAGGCTCCTTGTGCCTGGCGCTACCAGGGAGGAAAGAAAGGTAGGCACACAGGGGATTGTAAAAACCAACACGGTAAATAGGTGGATCTAACCATTTGGAGAAATCACTGGTAGACTGCTCTGAAGCATCACTGACATTACTTTTGCTTTTCAAACTCGGTTTCATTTGGTGATAGAATACCGTGTCAATTCAGGTAGCAACAGAAACACGTTGCCCTGACATTCTCCTCTCCATTCCATTTAATTAAGTCAACATCAATTAGTGATCACTTCAGTTTGTCCTTTGTGATACAGAAGGGTTCTTCTACTTGGCCTTTCACAACTGAGTGACTTTTGTGGAGAAGAGATTGGAAATAATTTGCATCTCTTGCTTCGTTATCTCCCCCAGCCCCTGGGAGGGGGGCGGGGGTACAGGAATGTCAGAATGCAGAACAGGCTCACCGCAGCCACCGGGACCATTTATTTCCTCCCACGTCCCCTCTCCTCCCATTGCCATCGGGGCCGCGTGGACGACCACCATATGGATCCACCCAGCCCCATATGGCTCCATCTCCCTGAAAGGGGCGCTCAAGAACATAAAAACACGGCTGTATACTTTTATTGCAGCCCCTTCTCATTTTCCTCCATCTGTCCTCCATATGTTTATGCGACTCTTATTCGGCTCCTGCACGCGGAGGCCTTTATAATGAGGTCTGTGGGGCTGACCAAGATAAAGACCCAGACTTCCCCTCTGTCAGTGACAAGGGGCCTCAATCACTTCAAATATGTGGTTCACGTAGTATTCAAACTACAACAAACATAACCAGTTTGCTTCCATTTGTACACACAATGCACTGTATTTCATAGTTACGACAGTTCTTTTAATTTTATCAACAGAAACCACATGCTGGCTTTTCTGCTGAATTTTCTCCAAAGCACCGTACGTGAAGTTTTGAAGAATTGCCTGTGACTTCCACTGAGGTGTCCCTATTATATGCACATCAATCTAAAGTTGACATTTTAATTTCCATAAAATTCTCCTCGATAGGAGGAAAAGTCGTTATGGTTTCTTCCCTCAAGTGTCTGTGCAACAATGTGAAGTGTGTCCTCCTCAAACTCTAAGAACATGAGTGGGGATGAGGACCGGATGACCCGGACAGGGGCCGTCCCCCCCTACGTAGGTCTATCCACTGCGTCCTAGCCCTATCTGCTTTGCTGAGCACACGGCTCAAGCGACACATGTGATCCCTGTGTTGTTACAATTGATAGGAAAGTGGAATAACAATCAGTAGACACCACGCACGGCCCCATTTCCCAATAGGAGGCAACTCCTGGCATTAGCAATAGCAACAGGGGCGACTGTTCGTTCCGCGTGTCCAACAGTGGGAACCCGTTCGTGGGAACCTGTTCGTGGGCAGCCAGGCCGTCTTTCACAACAAACTAATGACAGTGAGAAAGAAAGAAGAAAGGAGTCAAGTTGGGCCTCGAGTTGGCTTTAATAATCTCTACTCTTATCCGTATGACCTAGACACAAAGTCTTGTGTTCAATAGCAGATGCTACTAAGAAGAAAGCATTTGATCCCCTGAAACCTCTACCCATGTTTAAAGGCGTCCACTCCATGGCGGGTCACTTGCCAGCGTTCTGGTCCAGACCACCTGTATAAAGCGGCCTGGTGACCAGTACACAGAAAATCACAGCCGGTTCCATGATGATTATCTCTGAGGAAGCAGAACCCGGGAACAGTGCTCCGATTCACAAAATACTAATCGATGGGCATATGAAAACAACCCAGCAAGTGTCACCAGAACACATTTTTCTTTTAGCTTGTTTGTGAGCAAATGGCAATTACTGATTTCCCCTCCCAAACATACATATGCAAAATCAAGTACTTACTTGACTTGTGAGATCAAACATGCTATCACTGTCGGATACCTGGCTGGGCCATTTCGCTTTTCTCCCCTCGCCCACCGACACATTTTACACATCTTTGTTCCTCTTTACAACGAGACACGGAAGCCAGATGTGGGTTACATTCACACAAACCTTCTGGGGCCCAAGGAAACTCTTGCTTCCACCTAAGCTGTCATTTCACAACCCTTCCAGCAGGAGAAAAACCCGAGGAGTTACTCTGTACTAGTACAACCGAAACATGCCTTTTCTTGATGCAGTCAATACATTATTGCAAACTGTGGGGCTTGCAGGTGCTCTGGTGGCAGCAAAAAGTGCATTTTTGTCCGAGGTTCAAGTTACAGAAGTCAGGCTGCAGCCAGAGGCCTGCTCTTTGGGATAATTGTTCCAGGCTGGAACAAATGACAAATTCTGGTGAAGAGAAGCAAGTGCTCACCCTTCTGTGAGAAAGACAGTGTGGGCAGGTCGTTCTGTACATGCAATAGTAATGCTGCCAAAGTGCAAGGGTGAAACAGCTAAACAGGTATACTGCTCCCGGATTAGAGAGAAAGGACAGGAAGTCTGATCAGTGAGACTTCGGTGCATTACAATCTCTGGTCCGAGAAGCTATGCATGTCATGTTCTGCACAACACAGCATTCTCTGAGCAGTTTGTAAACCACTTGGGAAAAGGCAGAAGTTGCTAAGCTTATAGTTGCTGAGCACTTGCATTAATTGTTGACATTTCTGTGGGAGGCGATTCCCCCACTTCAGTGCCAGCACAGGCCAGGTGAATGCTTGTTAACCGCCTTGCATTTCTTCCCATTATTGAACACTGGCTATTGAATGCTGGCCTCTTGCCAAATGCCTTTAGGTATGATAGGGTAAAAATTGCCCAAGGAACGAGAACATTTGCCTCCGTATCATTTTCTTTGTATAGTTACTTTCCAGGCAACTGCTTGGACCTACATGTGTCCATTGACCGGATTTAAACAAGACAGTGGGGAAAGGCGCAGAGCACAGGCTGCATCAGCCCACCCGGGGTCAGCAACAGCGGGAGCCTTGCCCCTGAGGACACTGACAAGGGCAGCCACCACTGAGTCTGGAAGCAGGAGACACCCCAGTCTTACCTGTTTCTTTGTCCTGGACTTCTTCCAGGTGCAAGTCATTCAAAAGGTGCTCCAAGATCTTCTCCGGGGTCCCGGACACCACCACGTATCTGTCAGAGAGCAGAGAGTCTGCGGAATCGTCCTCCGTTGGGGACTGCGAGCGGCTGCTCCATTCATCGTCCTCATCCTCCTCGTCGATGTATTTGAAATAAGGCACATCGAAGGTAGGCAAGGGCAGCTCTCGGTCTGAGAGCGCAGCGGAATCCTTCCTCTCTAAACGAGGGTCAAAGACCCTCAGCCGGGAGCTGCCCATTGTGCCCGGCTACTAACAAAGGCATCCCCTAAATGCTAAAAGATCTTGGCCACCTCAGTCTTTTCACTGAGAACTGAGTCCATCTGGCTGCTAAGGGCTCTGCAGTCAGCTAGAACGCTGGGGAGGCGGAGAGAAAAGGGAGGGGGAGGGAAAAGGAGGCAGAGCGAGAGCCAGCCAGCCAGCCAGTGAGAGGGAGCTGGGAAGGGCGGGCGGGCAGGGGAAAGGAAACAGGAGCGCGTGCCGGTGGGAACTCACCTCCAATCACTGTCGGCGCTGCCGCCCGGGGGGGCCGGGCCACCGCGCTGCACCTTCTTCAGCACCAGGACACTGCGCTCCTGCTCTCTGACAGTCACCACTTCTTCGTCCTGCTTGAGTTGGGGGTGGGGGCGGGAAGACGGGAGAGAGGAAATGGAAGAGAAAAAGAAAGGAACTAAGTAAGGCTGCCTTTCCTTGGGTTGCTTTGCACCATCATTTTCTTGAAAGATTCAGAAGAAATCAGGAGACTTGCTCAAGAATTTCCCCCTTGGCCAGTATCAGGGCTCGAGTTCTATGGACACGTAAAGTGTGAGGGAGACATAAATACTTTAAAGCAAACAGAAAAAAAATAAAGTGGGGCTAGGATTCAGAGAGTTCAATTTTAAAGCTACCTGACTGATGTGAATTATGGCATTCACAGTTCAAAGTCCCAAAAACCACAACATGCTAATTGCACGTGTATTCCCTTTTACCTGGTTACCTGGCTGAGGCTTATTAAACAATCACTCTTTTAAAATGGGAAAGGTACTTACAACATCATTTAAACACTAAAAAAATGAATGAGCCACATTAAGTAGTTGTGGAAGGTACATATCGTATTTGTTCACGTCACAGCCTTGCTATGGAAGGTAAGCCAAAAACTACCTATTCTGTCACTCAGTGCATTTTTTTTTCCAGACTTGAGATGGCCTTCTAATGTATCATGCACTTGTTTTTCCCAGAGTACAAGCAAAAAATGGATCTTCAGTAAGAATCTCATCTAGGCTGAATTCAGATGTCATGGGTGAGTGCACTGACTTTCTTCCCCTCAGTCCCTCTGAAAAGGGAGGAGGCTGAACGACCACTCATTTCTGCACACGCAGCTCCCACAGCCCGGAGCCCAGTGGCCCGCTGACGCGGCTGTCCGTGTCGGCGTCCGGCTCACTGCTGACCCAGCAGAGCGCAGCCCAGCCCTGAGTGATGAACTCTCCCAGAGTTGGGTGAAATTCTCCGGATACACACACAACACACAGTTAAGTGTAAGATAGCTAAGGAGGGTGGGGGTGGGCGTGGGCAAGAACTTTAAAATGCATGTAAGAAATCTAGCTTCTGTATATCTGAGGATTTGAGCAAAAGACTAAAGCAAGGAAAGTTCATAGTAAGTAGGCTTCATCTTAAAAATGATGTCACTTCTTTAAAAAGGGAAACCTGCCCTAGGGTTCCTAGTGTGTTTCTGCTCCTGGCAGAAAATCCCACCTTATAATTAACTAGAGACATAAAGAACATTCCCCCCACCCCCAAATGATAAAAGGTACTAAGTCCGTTCCGCCTTATTATTAATCAGTTCCACAGACCTATCGAGGATGTCAATGTATTTTATTCACCCTTCATTTAAAAAAAGACACTCATCTCGTCGTAATTGCCAACCAAATCAGTGATAAAATTATGATTTTAACTCCCAGGGCCTGATTCCTAAGAGAATGTAGCGACCTAGTCATTTCAGTCCTCTGGGATTGTCTCAAAAACAAAAATACTGGTCATTCTAAACAGCAGTATAATTTTATGATGATTCTTTTTAACTCTTTCAGTGGCAAACAATTTTACTATGTAAAGCTGGTGCGTTACATTTCAGCAAGGTCAGACATGCAGTTACTGTGGCGATTAATGTGCAATAGTCATTGTTCAACTCCCCGAGGACCGCGGTGTGACTCTGTAACGTGAATACCAATGCGTAATTGCTATCTTTCATTTCTCCAAAGGGGTTCTTTTGTTATCCACATGAAATATGGTGGCTAAAGAGAGGGGCATATATTGACCAAAAAAACAACAACAAAAGACCCCCAGTGAATGTGGGTCTGGGATACTGAGACACACAGAAACAAATGATTCAGTAAACAGTAGATTTGAAAAGACAACAATCTTTCCCTGGTCTTCCTCTGCTTACAAGCCAATACTCATTTTCCACGAGCCCACTGTCACTCTGAAGTACATTTTCCCTTCTACGTGCACGTGATATATGGCATTATTAACTTCCCCGGGCCATGCACACACATATGGATGGGAAGGGCTCCGCTGACGCCTGTGTAACTAATGTGTGTCACAGGGTTGCGCGCACAGCAGCCACACTCTGCCGGGCAGGGGGAGAGCTGAATCACGCTGATGGACTATCAGTAGCATCTAACAACAGTCATAGTTTCCATTTTGAAAACCTGTTCAAAATAAAGAAGAGAAAAAGCAGAACAATCAATGTATAAAGGGAGAGGTGAGTTTTTTAAAATTGCCGTGAACACACAATAACCCTCTGTGTTGCATGTGGCTCTAAAGGGGAAAGGTTAAATTAATGCCTCCCGACACCTGCGTCCTTTCCTGCTCGCTCTTCCTGAAAGAGAGTGCAAGTACCCTGGCTGGGGTTCTGAGCGTGAAACTTTACTGCGGTGCTTGCTTGGTTAAAAATAAAAGCATTAGAGCCCTGGCTGGCTTAGCTCAGTGGATAGAGCGCGGGCTGCGAACCAAAGCATCGCAAGTTCGATTCCCAGTCAGGGCACATGCCTGGGTTGCAGGCCATGACCCCCAGCAACCGCACATTGATGTTTCTCTCTTTCTCCCTTCCTTCCCTCTCTAAAAGTAAATAAATAAAATCTTTTTTAAAAAGCATTAGAGAACTAATGATGAAAAATATGTTCAGTGACAAATAGCTCATGAAATGCAAGTAAAGCATTAACACACTCAATTTATGGCCACTCATTCAACAAACAGCGAGGCCCTCCCTTGGTGAGGCACTGTGCTGGTCACCAAGTGACATGCAGAGATGACTAAGACACGTGCCCTGCCCTTAAATGACAAGTTAATAGGCTCCCTACCAGCCCAAGTCTAACTTGGTGAGCACTCAAAGAGGAGGTGACAATGCAGGAGGCAAGGCAAAGCCGTAACCCATGGGACCTGATGGTGACAGAGAATGGGACGCCATTAACGGGGACAAAAATGCTCAGAGAAACTGGTTCTGGTGCGAGTGATGAGTCCAGCTTCAGGCAGATGGTGCTTTAGCACTGAGAATACAATTCATCACGCTGCTAATGGTGAGCAGGCAGTTAGAAAGAAAGAACAAGGCCTCTGGACAAAGGTCAAGGACAGAGACCAATCTGAATTACTCAAGTTTGGGGAGTGGATGAGGTTGTTCAGAGGAGAGAAAGGGAACTGGGAAGATGGGGATAAAGAAAGAGAAAACACAGAAAGTGTTTTCCTTCAGGGGAAGGGGTAGGGCATCAGGGTCATGGGGGAGCCCTGGGGACAGAGACTATGAAAAAGTACAATCGAGGCCCTGGCTGGCATAGCTCAGTGGATTGAGCGCGGACTATGAACCAAAGTGTCACAGGTTCGATTCCCAGCCAGGGAACATGCCTGGGTTGCAGGCCATAACCCCCAGCAACCACACATTGATGTTTCTCTCTCTCTCTCTGTCTCCCTCCCTTCCCTCTCTAAAAATAAATAAATAAAATCTAAAAAAAAAAAAAGTACAATCGAGACAAGTCAGGAAGACCTGGAGGGCACTGTCTCTGGAGATTCCAAGAAAAAGTCCGATGCTGTAAAGTTCACAAAGATGGTAAGTCTGCCACAAAGTGAGGAGAAGACCGCTCCGGGCCCAGCGGTGGGAAGGGCAGGGTTAAGGTGTGAGTGCGTGGGGAGAAGTGGACAGACGGTCATGAAAGGAAGCGCTCAGAGAGAAGAGCCTGCGCGGCTGGGACGGCAGGGAGGTGAGGGGGGTTTTGGTGAGACGTGACAGGATTGGAACACAAGTGTGGGGGTGAGGCTACAGAAGGGCTGAGATTTCATCCTTCCAGAGAGGGTGGTGAGGAAGGGGATAGTGGAGATTTAGAAAAAAGCAGAGATAGTAAGGAAGTTGCACTAGATCCTAGGAGATGGTTTTTTCTTCTTAGTACAGTGGGAACCGAGACCATTTGATGGAACTTCATGGAGAGGTTGGCGGCCTAACGGGATGACTGGAAAAACAGATTTGGGGGGGTGCGACAGGTGGTGAACAAGTTATGCAAAAAGGACTCCAGGTACTTCGTGGATTGCTGAGGGTGGAAAACACTTGCTTATGGTTTCATGCCTTTCTGCCAAAGTGCTCAGAAACCTCAGAGGGAGATGGTGAGCAACAGGCCCACCCAGGAGGCGGACGGCAGAGGAAACGAGAGGACGTGACCAGGGGAGGGGTTCTGGGCGGCTGGCAGCACACCAGGATCACACTCATCAGCACGTGATGTCTGTCTGGTTAGGGGGAGGAGTGAGCCAAGAAAGGAACCGACAAACTGGGAAACACGGAGGGGCTGATGACAGCACTCCCCTCCCCCACCCCCGCCCAGAGCTAAGGGAGCAGTCAGGAGGAAGAGGAGGAAGCAGGTGGAGGCTTTGGCCAAGGAGGCAAGTGCATGTCTGAAGCGGAGTGGTCCAAAGTGGCGAAGACCCAGAAAGAGAACGCAGCCCCTGGGATCTGGGAGCTGGCCTCAGCCCGAAAGCTGGGCCTGGGTGTTCTGCTGCAGAACATCCATGATTTCATGGAAAATCAGTGTCAGAAGGGGCTACTCTGTGATCAAGATGGAACAAAACACGAACACTCAGTAACTGTATCTGAACCCGGATGAAGCATGAACACTGGCCAACCCACAAAATACCACAAAGCCCAGGTAATGGGATGACTGCTGCTTCCTCCCCACTGACAGATTGAGCTTCGGCCTCGCCTACCTTCTCTGCAGGTGCGACTTAAGATACCCAGTCACAGTCACCCCACTTACTGACAGCATCTCATCCAGAGCAAAGCCCTCTTCTTTACACCTTCCCCCAAGTCACCTAATGCAAACCCAAGTCTTCTAAGTCCCTTTTTCTATCGCTGTCATGCAGGGAGCTGCCCCCAGTTCCCCAAGGTGTGGGGTCTCCATCACTGCGCCCAGCCATTAACCCAACTTGTTCAACTATGGCTGTGTTCCTGGCGGTCTCTGGCTAGAAGACACCAACAAGAGGTTTGAGATGCTCCCTGGCCTTGGCATGTGGCGGTGTAGAAAGGTGGTTACTGGAGTCAAGGATAAAAAGCATTCCCTTGTCAGGGTGATGAGAGAGTCGTGCACAGGAATGT